ATAGGTATTGTCGAGTCCGCCTAGCGCTTAGCGAGTCGACAAATGACTTCTGTATTCTGTCAGCGAAATGAATAACGTCGCGCACGGCGCGTTACCGGCATTACATATAGAGTGCGCGAACATTTGCCAAGATCAGCCGAAAAAGATGGCCCGGGATGCTAACGCTCTCCGCGCCGCCCTCGGCATATTGAAAGGGATTGCGCTTTCATGTGAAAAGGAGATTTATTATCGGGGAAATCCGTGTTACCGAGCGTCGCGTATCGAGCGCGAAAGTTGCCATCGTCAAAGAGACCCCGTTTGCAAAGGAGTGAACGTCACGTGGTATCCGGCCTCGAGAACGCTTTTTCCTCGATTCTCCTTAACCACCCCTGAGGAAAGTGTCGTCCGTGATACTCGACCATTTTGGGATATTGTTACAATGCGTGAATCAATACGTATAAAAAATAACGGATATTTATATTTTTATCTTAAAAATATATTCTAATCGATCAAACGTTTTATATATAAATAAAAGGCAATGCAAAAATATCAAGAAAATATATAGTTAACTGCGTCATCCCTTATTGCATATTCCGCCTTAATTCAGCTAAATAATTTTTTATTAAAAGTAAAAAAAAATTGTTAGACTTGGATTATTTTTAATACTCGACTATTTTGAGGTATTGTTACAGTTATAGATGAATCAAGATTTATAATAGATATCCAACATTTCGGAAAAAATGTACTCTAATCAATCAAATTTTCTATAAATAAAAAAAAAATAAAAAAAATTGAGATGTATATACACAACTATATCATTCTTTATAGACATTCTTTATAGACAATCTTAAATTACATCGACACTAAAAGTCTTTCTTTAAAAATATCTGTATTTGATAAATAAAAAAGAATAAATACAAAATCATATCAGAAATAAAAAGGAATACTTGGACTTCTATTTTTCCACTTTTCAAGATTTCAATTTTGAATTCATTACTTACTTTTTGTTCTAAAACAAAGAATATGTTTTTAAAAATATTTTTCGCTATGAAAGCCAGACTTTCTGTTAAATAAATCGTTAAACGAGAAAAGAGGAAATTCAAATCAGTTTGAGATCGCGGCAAACGTTTCGTGTTACCTCGTTCTCGAATCGTTCTCGAAGGCGGGCATCGCGTATAACAATAGCTGATAAAAATCGATTAAACTGAGAACGACGGCTTTGCCGATCCAATTCGCGTATGCTAATGGGATCTAATCTCCGTGTCTTTTTTGCCGAATGTACAATCGCCGAACCGATAATTCTGCGTTATCTCGAATAATTTGCTATTACGTAACATCGCGTGTTTAACCGATTTTATTCCAAATGACTTTTATATCGCGCTTTCACCTACGATCTTTGTTAAAAGCAATCACTAAACCAGAGAAATATTATGACGGTCATTGTTTTATTGTGTAAAATATTTTTTCGTATATATTTATTTCTTTTGTTTAAATTCTCTTTCCTTCGCTTGCGCATTGAAAAAATACTGATAGTCGATTTTTCTGTATTTCTTTATTTCACAGTAATTATTTTTCTGAATTTAATTTATACTGTGATATATCAAGAATTTCTGTAGATAAAAACTATAATTATTTACGCAACCAATATTTTTATCGCAATATTCTGAAAAGTATGTAAAAGTTTACATTATAGCACCGACACTTTCATCTAAAACATCGTCATTACATTATCTTAAAAATTGAAGGTACATGCAAAACATATTTAAACATATACATATCTTTTAAAAATACAGAGATTTTTAAATCTTATTATTTAAAATATACAACGCGTATATCTTCCTTTCTTGGAAGCTAAATCAAAAAATCAATTAAATAAACTAATAAAAATATCGCGTATGTTCTTATTTAATTATTTAATTCTTATTTAATTATAAACGATCGAATAGGGCAAAAGTTTTCCCTTATTATTACATTCGGATTAGCCGGTTCGAATCGAAGCTAGAAAAGGTTCCATTGTCCTCATTCCATTGCTTTTAAATCGTGGCTGAACTTTTCTCTGTATATTCTTTAATGAAGATTCTATCGGGTTCTTCTAACGCTTATTTTACGCCATCTATAAGAAATTCACGAAGGCTTGGCGCGTCTGCTTTTTCGCCGACTTTACAATTGAAGTGTATTTAATGTGAGTTTTATTTTTTCTCGTAAACGATGCATTTACGACAGCAATACTTTTAGTTGTTACAGCCTGCATTTTTCCTTGAGAGAGAGTATCCATTACTATATTTCTCTTATTATACACCGGTTAATTTAGCTTTGTGCGCTGTGCATACATCAAGTTACATATCTAATTTATTACATAAAAAAAGCATAATAAAATAATTATATTAAATTAAATAATTGTATAAAAACAGTGAGATAAAGTTTATTCATGATAGTTATGTTTCCAATATTACCGGATATAGAGGACCAATCAAATCGTAAATTAGTCGGTTTTAAAAACAATTTTAAAAACATTCATAACTTTTTCAATAAAAATAGTATAACAATGGTATTCAAAACAATCATGTATTTAAAGTGTACGTATATAGAAACAATGCAATTATGAATATGCAATCATGTAACGTAATATTATTTAAATAACATTCTGTTTACTAGAAACATTTTATAGTCCGAAAACAGCGCAATATTTAATGTTATTCAAACAATTTCTCAGTTTCTCGTCGCATTATCAATTCGAATAAAACAAGTGTTTACAAAAACGCGTCGCGTATTTTTAAGAATTTAAAAGTGTTATTTCGTTGTATATTTTATCTTTCGTGTCCCGAAAACGAACATCAATGCCTCTTGTTGGACCCATAAACGCGATCGAACGGAAGATCTCGCGATAATCTACTTTCTCCGCGGCGACGGGCTTCCAAAGGAGCCGAAGCGAAAGTAAAGCCGTACGTGACGTTCGCCTTTATCTCTGGACGTAAGAAAAAGAAAATAACGTAGTCGGAATTTGCGGGGGTCGACGGTAGCGGCGGCCCCCGTCGCCATGTCGTGCTATCGGGAAAATTTTAAATCACGTCCGAGATAATCGAATTCCACCGCCGCGCGGGAAGACGCACCACGCTCACCCGGACGTTATTCACCCTTTAATGGTGAATTCGCACCCTCGTCCCCAACATCCTTTCCCTCTTCTCTTTCTCTTTTTCCCATCGGCGCGCCATTTACGCATCGCTGCTACGAGCGTTCGGACCCGATCTCGTAAAGAATGCAAAGGCACCCCCTGGAGAACACCCCCGGAGTACGTTCTCCGGACCGTATCGCCCATAAATTCTATCGTCCATCCTGATTCCGAGCTGCGGCGAGAACCGCGCGATCATCTCATCTCCATCACCGACACGTCGCGTCCTGGTCTCCACTACGTGCCGACGTTCCAGACGTAGGAGTTACGGGGTCCGACGAGACGGTGCGAAGGGATATATCGATATTTATTGGCTTGCCGTACGTGCCCTCGATAGATAACTGTCAGATAAGATCTCGGAGATCTATTAATTATTAATCAATGTACCCTATATGTTTATTGTCTTTCGGCAATATTTAACAAAAATATATGTGGGGAAGGAACGTATCAACCATATATCAATCACGATGTGTACAAACCTTCTTCCTCCAGCTTGTAAACAGTAGAACCACATTGGTTATTCTACATCTATGTATTGGGATTGTCTTGTATTAGCGTGGATATTTGACATCGGTATGGATGTCAAACATCTATATCAATATACCGACGGTATTGATTTAGATGTTTGACATAGCTCTGTATATGCTTTAGATATCCATGTTGCAAACGTTATTATGGAGAGTCTCGTGGTCCGAAAAAACATTCGGTATTTATTCTGCTATTTATTCTGCGCTCTATTGACTTTTGTTCGCTAAGTATACAGAGCACCCCGAATTGATACGAACTCTCGTTCGCTTGAATTAAATTCGGAATGATTTTACATGAACCATGGAAGAAACAGGATAAAATTTAACGAAGCTTATTAATATCCACTTTATAATTAGTGGTTGTTCGATTCAAAATAATTATCCGTTTATCCATACTAATTTATCGACCTTCGACGATTTGCGTCATGCGCGTAGATAATGAGGAATTAAATTGCGCGATCGCAAACAAAAAGGATTTGACTTTTAATACAAGATGCGCGATTATTGTTATATCCTTCCATCAAGTATAATCTTTTAAAGAACGAACAACGAGTAGGAGCGAAAGATCATTATTTTATGACTAAAGCTCGGATAGACTATATCCTCTCAATGCAAGCCGACGAACTCCGACCGAGCGACCGAATATCTCGTCTCTATATCGACGAGAGTTCTCTCGTTTCTCTCTCTTCCTTCCTTTCGGCAGCTCGTCGTCGATTCGCAAACGGGTCTAGAAAAATGGCCATCGGGTTTTCTATTATCCCGATAAACATCTCACGATGGTTCCGGGTTTGTCAATAGCGCGATGGTGTATAATACAGTTCGAAGCTTTCGACGAATCCTCTTTAGTAGTAAGTGAAGGCAAATGCAATATCGCACCGAGTGTCCGGGATTACGTGTCCTTCGAACACACGCTCAGTTTCTATCCTATTAAAGGATCGAGAGTTCATCTATCTAAGTTCGTGTATCTATGTCATTGTCGGTATAAGAAGATTAAATTCAATAGAAAGACATTTGGAAACTGTCAAATTCTCGCACGGAATCCGCGTTCACGCGGACGCGAATTCGTCGAATTTCTCATGAATATTTTAACGCAGTTTTTAGCGCATTTTTTTAAAGCGCAGTTTTTGCCATAATCATGCCTCGTAACGATACGTCATTATTATCGTTGCTCGCGGGTAATTGCGCGCTATAATTATCATATATCGCGTAAATTAAAAACGTCGATAAAACGTGTCTGGCGGCATGAATCTCGTGTATTCATTGACGGTCGGGCGAGCCAAGAGGGCGAATTTTTATTAGTGTCATAATGTATATAGAATACTTACAACGCATGTCTACGCGAACTGATGACGACAGCGGAATCGACCTATTGTTATTCGTGGCGTTGCAGGTCAGCACCGAGTGAACGTCGTCCCGGCTTAAGTTCTGTACAACGATCTCGCTACGTGTCACACCACTGTTTGGCATTGTGGTCCGATTTGTGACGAATCTGTCGTTGCGATACCAAGACACCATTGGGGCCGGTTTACCTACGGAAACAGGTTGATTTTGTTAATTAAAAAAATATTAAAATGATGTTGGAACGACGATCGAACTTGATCTATATCGGCAAAACGGATTCTTAATTCCAAATAAAATGTATATTAAGTAAAATATTAATTAAGTAAAACGTTACGAACATTTCTTGCTCTGATATATAGGAATATATTCTGTATATTGCATAAGCTAGATGGTGTATATTCAGATCGTGCTTTTCCATTCACTTCTCTTGTAAGCTTCAAAATCATAATTTAAAGGTCTCATTACATATTCTTATAAATTATTCAAATAACTGTGGGGAAACTACTTTTTGTTTGGATATATATTTGAAATCATTTATATGCGTGAAGAAATAACGTACATGATAACAGGAAATTATAATTTACAATTTTTTTTTTATTTTTCATACAGGTTTGTATTTTCCCATAGTTATTTGCGTTTTTTCTTTTATTCTGGAAAAGGATTTTTTTATTCCATATAAGGAAAATGAAGAAAATGAAAAAGTATGAAGTGCGCGTTTCATCGGCTTTACAGACGATTCCAGTATCCCCTTAACCTCGATATATCGGCGAAACGCGATGCTTCGCATGGCGAAAACTTTTGCGGAGCAAATGCGCGTAGAGATGTTTAACGGAGAATCGATGATTTCGCTCGTTCGACAGAATCGTAACTACCGCGACGCATAAATTTAATGGTACAAGTATCGAGTACCACTCGAGACTTCATTCAAAAGCACGATAATAATGAAGAGTAATAATTACAAGCTATAATTAGCGAAGAGAGTTAACATCGCGCAAATGGAATCGGTCTTTCATTATGAACTAGCGCAATAGTGTCATTAAACAATCAATTCCAATATTACCGTCGCGACGATCGCAGGCATAAACACTCGAATTATTTATCGCAACTATACCCTGTATTATACATTGTATCTGTATAATTACTTAATGTAACATAATTTGTATAATGCGTAATCGATGAAAACTATATATAACAAGTTAACAAAGATCAGTAATTAATATGATTGAAGATATTATAATATTTAGATTAATTAATAGATTAGCTGTTTTGCAATTTAAACTATTCATTTTTTTATTATTTTTATTTTATGTATTTAGTTCCAAATTTCTTTTATTTTGTTGATCAACTATGTATTGCTATCAATGCTTGAGAGGCTCTGATCCTAAAGCGCTTAACGCGTTAAGTGCCACATGGGTCACCGGTAATCCACGCTGGACTTTCCGTTTAGACTGTTTGATATTTTGACTATAAAAAAGAAATCATTATAAAATAATTTTTGACATACCTTATTATGATATATGTTGCAATATTGGTACATTAGACTTTCTTTGTAATAAGAATTTTTGTAATTCTTTAAGTCATTATATTATGTTATTTAACAAATATAATAAATTCAAATAAAAATATCGTCTACGATATTTTTGTTTACATTTGGGTGACCCCCATCACTCGGTGTGAGATGGGTGATGATTAAGATAAGACTTAAAATTGGCTAGACATGGAACATATTAATAAATAACGATATCTATTTATCTAGCTTTTTTATCTATCTAGCTTTGGTTTTGTAGAATAACAATAAAATATTAGAAAGATTATTTATTTAATTTATAATAAATAATTTCGGAATTAAATATCTCACAAATATACAAATTAACAGAAAGCCATTAACAGCAGCATGCATAAAAATTTTATAATGCTGCAAAATATCATTTTGGTAATATTAATCATTGATTATAAATATAAACGTTGTAGTTATGCGTTGTACAAATATAATTTATATATATATATATATATATATATATATATATTATTCATCTACAAATATGCACCAACGTTTTGTAGCATGAGAATATTTATTCGCACAATATTATTATTCATAATTAATAGCTATCATTTATAGAATAAATAGATGGATGTTAATACATGTAATTAATATATATTATGTTTGTAATACATATTCCAAGAGGTCTTATGAGTTAATTAACAAGTAATACAACGGAATAATACAACGCCAGAATAATTAAATCAAAAGTGACAATAATAATTATTGCAATATTGTTTTAACACGAAAATCATAACCTTTATTTATATATTCATTTACATGTAGGAATAAATTCATACAGATTACTAAAAAAAAAAGTCTTAATCGTATATAGTAGAATGTCCTTCTATCTCACTCTTTTTGTCAATCCACTGCAGGACACAAAACCCGCATTGCGGGGCAAAAAAATTCATACAGTTTTTTCGAGGATTTCGCAAAAAGGATTTCGTCGTTACATACTTGTTTAAATTTATGAAACTCACCGCCATGGACGTCGCAGAAGAGCCTTAGATTAGCGCCTTCCATATACGGTCCGACCATTGTGTCTCGTCTGTTCTCGTTCTCGTCGACAATCGTGATCTTGCGCGGTGGTACTGGAAAATGAATAGAAATGTCAATATAGTTAACACTGAGGAATATTCATGATACGCGTGAGGGGGAGCTACCCTGATCGCGAGTCGCCACGTACGACGGGGGTTGTCCCGGGCGGCGCGCGACTCGGCAGCACGTCACGAAAAGTCCGATAACACGAAATTGGTATTGGAAGATCGTGCCTGAGATATCGCGACGGCATTAAATTGAAATCTGAAATCGATATCGGAGCGCCGCGAGAGTTCGCGATGTATATTTCTGACGGACGTACATACTGGATGATGTGTTCGCGCGCACGGCGCACTTCTGTTCTTTACCGGTTCAGAAGCTGGGAATTGTCGTGATCAGATATCGGACAAACGTGAAGTTTGCCGGTGGGCGGAACTTAAAATAATAAGAACGGGGTCATGGGGAAACCAGCGTTTTTATCGTTTCCCTTCGAGCGCGTGCGACATTTTTTAATTCTCTTACGTAAATTAGCTTATTCGGAGGAACTCCTTTCGACCTTTCCGTGGAGTTCGCGGAAAAATCAGATTGCAATGCTCGGGACATTTGTAAAAGGAGAGCCACTCCGGCAGACGGAATTCCCGGGCGATGTAATTGGAAAATTACAATCGCAAAAATCACGACGGAAGGCCGCATTCAAGAACGCCACCTCGTTCTAGCTTATTTTTCTTCCTGGCGGCCTTCTCTCGCCGCATAAAGAATTATTTTGGTGCTGCACTTGGAGTGAAATGGCGTTTTATTCTTATTGCAATCTTCTTTCATGGTGCATCAAGCGCGACAGTTGGGAGCTTTTGAAATCAAAAGCAACTTGGTAAAATACAGTCGTCTTCCTTCAGCTTACATCAAATGTATTATTACTACGATCAAGAGAAGGAATGATCAGTAAATATCAGATTTTTTTCTTATATAATATTATCTTCTATAATTTTAATTTCAAATTTTTGTATAAGTGTTCACCTCGTTGAGGTCGAACCTTTTTGATTGTAATATTCAATTGTGAAACTAGAGATTCTTAAGTAAGAGTCTAGAAGTATGAGACAAATATGGCGGTAATATTTGATTCTGTATTGCAGATTCGTACACGAAAAAAAATGGGTATACAGAAATATTAAAAAATTTAACTAGTCATAAATCTGAAAATAATTTTCAGACCATCCAAATAATTTCATAAGAATTTTAAATAACGAGCAATATTGTAAAAAGTTTTGATATTCTGACAACCAGTTTGATCCAACAAATTTATTTTCAAATCTGTATCTAAATTTTTAGATACATTGTTAGAAATATAACCACGAGCTTCCTTTACATATACACAAATATGCTTTTCAGTTATAAATACATTAAATTTAATGTAATGTTATGAAATTAACTTCAATTTGTGTAATTTAAAAATATATTAAATTTCATGAAATTTTTAACAATATATTTCAATAAAATCGTTCTTTCCGTAACAAACTTACCTAAGTTTTACATGATATACTCTATATATTCTGTAATAGATATGACATTTCCGTCATATTTATCTTGTAAACAGACTATGCGTGACCAGATTCTTTTGAAGGTCTCAAAATAAAATAAATATACTCGACTTCACGAACGTGAAAAGTGTTTTAAAAATATTTTTAGTTAAAATATCATTGCAAAGACACTTCTCCTTTCTTCCTTTCTCACTCCCTCCTTTTCTCGAAGACATTTCCTTTCTTCTCGGTCTCTCTGTAATCCTGACAAATGATATGCGGGGAAGCATCATTTATCGATATTAACCTTTGTAATATTTGCAGTATCATAGTCCATCCGTGTAATACTAGATATTTCGATTGCCTGTCTGCCGTCATAAGAAGAAGGTATGTTGTAAGAAGGTATGATGTACTCGCGTCGATGCCGGGTTCCGGTATTCGCGACCTCTTTTTAAAGGCGCGGTCCCTCCGTAAGGACGCAGTAGTCTGGAGGTGCAATAGCGCGGCACGCCATTAATCCGCGACAAGTCTGACAGTGGCGCACCTGCACTACCGCCGTTATTTATTTCCGCGGAAACTGCCGCGGCTGCTCTATACTGACGAGAATTATCGTGCTTTAATGAAACCGATCCCTCCGGTAAAACTCAATTTATTATCCGACTCCGGGCGCGCGCTTTCACGTCCGACTTCGCGTCGGCCACTTTCTTTCCTCTAATTATCCACCGCGTTTAGTTAAAAGCTAAAGTTCGCGCGCACGCGGTTTCAGCCCTCGCCACCACCGCGTGAGATCATTCCGCTGCGCAATCATTTTTCATACATCCCATTTTACCCGCGGGAATACGTCTCTTCCTAAGTAAAGCGAGTCCCGTTTCGGTCCGACGGGAACTGACGATGATTAAATTTGTTCCTCTCGTTAGCGACCGTGATTAACGTAAAAATAGATCTCGCATTTCGTAGCTCGGCGGCCCGGAACGATTAACGTGCGCAATGTTGCGCTATTAATATTCCCCTCTCTCCCTTTTTCAATTACTAAGGCGCGACATAACTTTCTTAGAATTATGAACGCCAGCAGATATTTACGGTTATGACGATACAGCGTAGTCCCCAAGAAATATCTATATAACTCTGGGAAAATGCCGCGCAAAAAGAAATTGATTTCGCATTAAGCTTTATCATTTTCGTAATAAAATACGGTATTCTTATGACATTCTAAATAACGAACATATCTGTGTCTCACAAAATACGCGTTGCATGTATTATATGCTTTAAGTCGATCGATTTATTTGAGACTGAAATGTGCTTCGCACACTTTGTGATCGACTACGTTGCATATAGTTAACGCAAAGCTCAGAGCCGATTATACGAGAAATTTTCCATAAAGTATCAATATATGCTGCAGTTGTTACAACAAAGTGTATGAACCAAGTAGGATTTTGAATTTGAGTTTTGAACGCAAACTCTGGTTCTTTGACGTTCCGATGTATGATAAAGGTCTTTTATATACTATCAAGATTTGACTTTCACAAACGTCGTTCTCTGATATTTTCAACATACATAAATTTTTTGTAGAAAATTCTATCTTGTAAATAACTGTTAACTAAAACGTATGATTGAACGAGACTAATTAAGTACATTGTGTGTAGATTTTCTTTTTTTTTTTTTTTTTCAAATTTCAAACCACGTTATCCGTTTTTAATTTATTTGTAATTTTATTATTATTCTTTATTATCAGGATTTTTTTTCAGTACGGTTTTTTTCAAAATCGTCCTTTTGCAATTTACAATTCAGTAAAATTTCCATCCGACAATTTCTCTCGCTCACACATACAGCGGTTGATTAGCACGCGCATTTCGCGAGATCGCGCATACTTGGCCACCAGTGCGGACTGGTCAGATTTATTGTTTATAAAGGCTCTTGATTTCGGGAACATCATCAGCATCGAGAGCGCGGCATCGGCGCAGTCGGGCACGGGAAATCCGAAACTGTTTTTCGTGATTAATGCTGCCGAGGGTGGGCGGCGTGGGGAAAAAGGGGTATTAACGGACGGCCGAGCCATCGGGTGGTAATTGTCGTGCCCGCAGTTACGCTGGTTAATTTGAGCCGCCAAAAAGTTACTTCCGCCTTTTGCTCCCGCCGTGACCATAAAAAAAAATTTTACTGCGGTTCGCGTGTTGCTACCGTGCAAATGAAGTCGTATCGGTGTGCTAACGGCAACCGAGCGCGCCATAACAGCGTGCGGGATTTGATTTCGGACTCGAACTTTACGTTACCGTCGCGCACGAAGTTTCGCTCTGATAAACCAGTGTTTCGATGAAATAAAACACCGCGGCCGCGCTACAAAGAGCTTAAATCGAAATCGCATGCCGCAAACGGACATTCGTCGAAAGCGGCATAATAGTTTATTTTTTTTTTGTCAATTCCACAAGAAGAGAATTTCAGAAAATAACAGTGTTACGACCTTAACCGTTCGATTATCGCGAGCGAAAAATTCTCTGATTGTAATTAAGTGGACGTAAAAAAAAATGTGATACGATCGAAAATGATAACATAATACCTCGATCCTTATGAATAATCTACATAACTATGAATATATTTTTGGCTTCATCGCACAAGCTTTGATTACATATTTCTATCGAAATCAACTTAACGAACCGTTTTTATTCTCAAATTACGATCGCAATTTCGCTTTTGTCATCGCATTTACTTTGGCCGCCAGGCCATCGGTATGCATAGTATGCAACATGGCGCGATGAAGTGCAGTCACAACGATTTTTTAATTTTCGATGCGTGACAACAGACCGATTAGACTGCTATTTATATAAACTGCGTCACGGAGAACGCGTAAAATTGAACCCGTGATTGAAAAATATTTTAGCAGAAAATACACAGAGGTATTCATGGACAAAAGTACGCTTTTTATTCATAAAGCGGCGGTGGTTGCGAAAAAATAAAGCGTCTGCCGACGTCGCGTAAAAAAAAAAAAAAAAAAAAAAATGGGTCGATATACGCGCGCTCACGCACGCTGGCGGCACAGAGGGTAGGATATATAAATTCTAAAAGGGGCGGCCGTTTCGATTTTCGTCAATGCTGAGCCGATGAATAGGGTGATCCGATTCGTTTCGCGAGCGTGTTCCGCTTTGGCGAACGCTTCACTTTTGTCGCCTGCGCACCGTCTATATTCTATACGCGCCCATCACTCGCTCTTTTTCCACACGTGTCGAATCAAAACACGTTCGTTAATTCTGAAATGGAGAGCGAGAACATCACGGAGATCCGTCATTTAGCACGATGCACTTGCGGCTGTTGGCAAGAGCGCGAATAATGTATTGGCTGTCACTTGAAAAGTAATGTCGCGATCACTGTATGAACTACGGAGTATAGCTGATAATAAACGCGGCAGATTTTTTTTTCGATTTATGTGTGTGTGTGTGTGTGTGTGTGTGTGTGTGTGTATATGAGAAAAATATTATATCTAATCATATCTCTTAGAAAAGCACCTGTATCATCCACCTTGTATCATCAATATATAAAAAATATAT